ATTCAATTAGTAGGCAAGTTTTTTTTCTGGTTTTTTGACAATGATGTCCGGCCTATTTGCTTCAATTTTTCTGTCTGTGTGGATGGTATAATCCAAAGAATGTTTGCATTTATTATTATTATTATTATTATTATTATGATTATTATCATTATTATTATTATTATTATTATTATTTCTGTATGGACACTACCTACCAAGTTCGCGGAAAGACCTAAGGCATCCTGGTGTGTTGTTATGGTACATTTCATAATTTTTTTTTTTTTTTTTTTTTTTTTTTATCTCCGATGAAGTTGTAGCGTTACATAGACAAAGTTCTCCTTAGTGTGTGTGCTGTATTATGATTATTATTATTATTATTTATTATTATTATTATTATTATTATTATTATTATTATTATTATTATTATTATTATTATTAGCTTTCAAAAGCTAAATTTCTTTTTCTGATACGGAAAAAGTCCACACTGGGTTTGATAAGACATCCGACCGATATCTTCGTCTGCTGAAATAGACTATTCCCCATATGAGGTTATTTTAGATTTTATTGTTTATGATTTATATATATATATATATATATATATATATATATATATATATATATATATATTATATTGTATTTATCGATTTATCCTCCATTTTACAATATGTTAACATTTTCTTTCGTTTCGATTGAAAATGTAAAATTATTTTTTCTCTTTTTGTTTACGTCTATTCCACTTCTATTTTCACTTGCACAAAATGAAAATGCCCAAAAAAAAAGAAAGCCAGTGATTTCAAATTTCGCTGTCTTCATAAAATAATCCAAGTCTGCCAATTAATTAACAGAAAAAGCAAACAACAATACCTGTTCTTTAAATATTGCAAAAATAGATGTTTTATCTATATCTGTTAAATGGCTAGTCTCTAAGCTTCAGGCAAACACAATGAGATATGATACATTGTTAGGTTGCTTGGAAAGTAATTACGTATTTCAACGATATGAACAACGAAAGCAAAATCAAAATGTAATTTTATTAAACTGCTTCTAAAATTATTTTATCATCACATCTATCTAACAATGTGACATTTGTACGATATATCCTAGTTTAATTAGGAAAATTGCATTGACGTAATATCGTTTCCTCGTTAGGTTTTTGCTTGAGAATGAAACGCAAGAATCAAAATGACCATAACAGTAATCCGTTCGATTCTGACTCATTTCGATTCGATTATTGACCCCCTCCCTAATCCTGTTGATACACCTTGAAATATTACAGCTAGTCTAGCACAAGGCCAAAAGTACGGGGCGCTCATTAAGCATCTAACTGCCCCACAGTAATAACAGTCTCCGAAATTAGCTTGTTGGCTACGACTTCATTTACAGGAGCACTTAGATATCTAATAAATGTTGATATGGTACAAGGCCAGAATTGCAGGGCATCTAATAAGCATTAAACTCATTTAAATATTACTAATCTATGACTTTAGATTGTTAACCATTACTTCATATCAAGGCACTTAAGTAGCGCATATACTCGAGTATAGTGAGAGTTTCTATCATCGGTTTTTACGCTTAAAATATGGAATTGCATTATGCAATGGTAATTCTTTTTGAAGTGGTTAAAGATTATACATTTTCGGTGACTGATTGCTCAATATACATGTCCAGATTTTGTGGAGGGGTTACAATTTATGCAAAAAAAAATTCAGGGGTTGTACTGTACATGAAGTCGACTTGTGCACGAATATACACGGTATGTAAAGATTTTTTTTTTTATTATTTCGTCTTACTCAAGGGCGCATATGTTAAGGATTCCTGTAATGACGGCCTGCGAAACTAGCTTTTTAATTATTGCTTCATTGCTAGTACCAAACAGAAGGACAGACAGACAATAGGGTTTGTTACATTCACTTACGCTCAAATATCCTTGGTAAAGGTATGAATCAATCTCTTCTCCACCCAGCTATGGATTAAGTAGCAGGAGAGACACGATCCTATAGCCTTTGTTGGCAATCAGTCTGGCGCAGAAAGAAACAGCAAACCACTGCATGAAAATCTTCTGCCTGAGTCATGAATCGAAAGAGACATGATCGCCGAAGCGTATATCGCGTAGGACACTTGATTGACTAATTAACTAGAGTTAAAAAATTATATTGAATCGATTGTTAGGTCTGCATGCTAAGAAAGTTGGTTCACTGTGTCGGGCAAGATTTTTCCCGCCCGAATCTATCTTACATATTTATAACACAACTATTCGTTCATGTCATAAATATTGCTGTCACATTTTGTCTACTAGACCTGTTGTGTATTTAGGGATCCTCGATAAAATCCAAAGAATAATATGCAAAGGTATTGGTCCTGATCTCACATCCATCTTCAGTTACTTTTCCCATTGCCATAATGTCGATTCCCTGGGCCTTTTCTATAAATGTTTTCATAGTAATTGTGCTGATCAACTCTCCTCTATGGTACGTAGATTTTATGAATTTAAGTGCAGTACTAGATTGGCAGCAAGGTCTCATCATTTTACAATTGAAACGTCTCGATGTAATTGTAAGTTCTATGCTAACAGTAATTTTATACTGGCGAGTACTTCAACACTTCTCTCTTTTGGAAGTCTGTTCCGGCTTCTTGATTAAATGTCTTCTTTAAAGTTCCTTTCCCACCGCCATGATGTATCTTCCCTATTCCTTTTCTATAAATACTTTCATGGTAAATGTTCTGATCAACTCTCCTCTCTGGTACGTAGACTTTATGAATTTAAACGCAGTACTAGATTGGCGGCAAGGTCTCATCATTTTACAATTGAAACGTCTAGATGTAATTGTAAGTTCTATGCTACCAGTAATTTTATACTGGCGAGTACTTCAACACTTCTCTCTTTTGGAAGTCTGTTCCGGCTTCTTGATTAAATGTCTTCTTTAAAGTTCCTTTCCCACCGCCATAATGTATCTTCCCTATTCCTTTTCTATAAATACTTGTAGAACTATCTTCTGGCTTCTTGCTTTCTAATCAAGTTTGATTTTCAAAAATTTAAATACAATGTCAATCTTTATCTTCCATCTTCTTAATTCTTGTTTTTTTTATTGTTCTTTCACCTTAAAAATGTTTTTATCATATAATACTCCCTTGCATCTTACTACTCAGTACCCTCCATCTTAGTACTCAGTCCCCCCTCTTGTGGCTTTCTTTCTTTCTTTGAGGGGGTGAAATGGTTTTAAAAAAGTAAATCTGGTGGAGCACTTAGCCCTCCAGATCAAACTTCAGCCTGGAATCTCGCTTTGGTCATGGAACCCCCCACTCCGTAAATCTTGGAAGTCACCCTTCCGCCAGTGGCACCGTCCCATCACCGCAGACATACTTATAGAGCCCAGTTTACTCCCATTGTGCTAGACAGTTGTTGACTTTAGAAGAGGTTTATCAGCTGAAGTCTGTTGGGTATATAGCCACTCAGATCACCAGAAAAGCCTAGTAGGAAAATCAGTTTAGATTCCGATGATCTCACAATGCAACTGATAATATTGTTATAAGGTACCATTAGCACTCATAGCACCTGATATAATCATATTATATATTTACATTACTTTCTGCACTTGGGAACAGGTTTCAGAAAAAAGTAAGACGAATGCCATCATGAAAACTGTATTTTATTTTTCTGAGTGTTGTTCTCCGACAATGAATAAAAGCAGTTTTTTGTTTCCTTCTTTACAACAAATCGATTTTTTTAAGTTTTTCAGTTCTTTTTTCTTAATGACAAAAATGTCTAGCATGATAAAGTCAACGCTCGTTACAGAAGATGTCTGCTGTCGTCAAGTAATTTCTTAATCTCATATAAATACGATAAATGATTATCTTAATGCACCAGGCGAGATTAACGTATTTTACTTGATTTTTTTTTCATCTTATTACTTCAAAGATTTTTTGAGCAAAATTTCTACTTCAATCCGATCAAGCAAGCAAAAATGAAAATTCAACTGTGTGGGCGCTGTCATCTGTATGGATTTTCTTTGAAAATCTTGTAAATACTTTAACTACTTACGCGAAGCTGAGCAGAAACTTTATCCTTCAAACGAGAGAATCCTTTAGATCTAAAAGCGGACAATCTTTCATCAGACCCTATAGGCTACTGCTACAAAATCAATAGCAGAATGATTTATCAAACAAAAAAAAACACTTCCCTTTAACACTTTCATTATCAACCAAAACAGCGATGAGTCTCACGTAACTGCAAGAGGCAAAAGGACATAACCAGGGTCTTAATTTTACACAAGACCAGAAACCAGATGGTCCCAAACATTTTTTTTTCTCTCGGATGCATTTTCAGAATTAAAATTTGCTCACACATCACCAAATTTTATGTGATAAAAATACATTTAAATATTTAAAAAAAATGCAGAGAAAGTGTTAAAAGGAGATAATCGCGGATTCGATGTCAGAACATTATTATTGATAACTCTCTCCTCCAATTTACGGACCTTAATTCTTAATAGTTGATATAATACAGAAATATCACAATAATAAAATCTGTCAATAATTATTTATAACTATTTATACTGGGACTCATGCATGCAATTACAAGTAATCCATAATAATATTTTAAATTTTGAAATCATATTTATTTCTAGCATATGAATTTTTAAACTGTTTCTAAATCTTTGTCTTTCAATCATTCCGCCTCACCTGCTATCCACTTCTGTCGTATCACAGCGTTTAGGAACCAGTGCCTTAAAGCAAATAATTGGTTCATTCATTTTTACCGCTTATCAACCCCTTGCAGTCTATTTAAAGTCAGAAAATATAATTACAGTGTAGATTTTTTTTTCTTTTTTGAGATAACGAAGATTTAGTGATACTAATATTACTATTTAATCCATACTTGGGGGAGAAGAGGTGGATTCATATCTTTCTCAAGGGTATTTCACGTAAAAAAATATAACGAACCCAACTGCAATTGGAACTCGGCTCTCCGATTAGCATTTCCAAGCCATTACCCATTACACCACCCATGGATCCAAGCCTAGACCACCTTGTATTCCGAAGAGTTCATGATCTAAGTACTGACCAGGCCCGACGTTGTTTAACTTCGGTGATCGTACGGGAACCAGTGTTTCAAATGTTTTAGCCGTAATCAACATGACTTTGTAAAACCCCTTCAACAATAATAGTCGATGTAATCATATTATCTTCATCACATTGAAAAATTACTAAAGTATAACTAATTGGAGACTTTATGCAAATGAATTTATTTATTTTTTTTAATTTTCCTTCATTACTCAATATCTTGTAAGAAGACATGTATAATCCTTAGCAAGAGAGTGTTGTGGTAGGATCCACCTAATTTGCATAGTGGAGTACCGACCATATAAATATGGTTGGTACCGGGAAGACGGGGGGGGGAGAGGAATCAAGAGATTCAAATCCAGAGACTCTGCCCGGCTGTGAATAAGTCAACCCATTCCAGGAACGGTCTTCCCAAGAATATACAAAAGACTATATGTAAATATTGTGTACACTTTCTTGTTTCAATACATTTTGTTCTAAGTACATTTTGTGTTGTATTATTATTCCATGCATTAGTCAAGTTTCAACAGAGAGACTGCCCAAAACTTGAATTGCAAATGCCAAAAGCAAACAAGTACAGAAATACAGAAGTACAGGACTACCTAGCAAGTGTAAAACAGACGACAGAAAATACCAAAAGGGATCATGAAAATAGTAAAAGTTGCCTTCGAAAAACTAAGCAAAGTATTAAGAAACAGGAAAAATGTTCTTAAGAAATAAAGAAAACATTGCTGAACTGCTATATAATATCAATACCCACCCTACGTGAAAATGCTATCCCTCATTTCCCCCAGCTATGGGTTAATTAGTGAGACTTTTATCATTAAATTATTATTATCTCAAAAAGAATACTTGCAATATAAAAATATGTTCTGCCTTTAAATAGACAGCAAAAGGTCGATAAGTCATAAAAAATGAATGACTCAATCAACAACAAATGCATGTTCGCAAAGTATTCAGCTATTGAGTATTTTCCTTCCTTTAACGATGTACTAGTTCCTCTCTGAAAACTTCTACCAGGATCTCACATTCTTATTCCAGACTTCCATAAAATCCTCTTTGGGGATCAACATCTTCTTGTTCATCTTGTTCTACTTAATCTTTTAAGCTTATCCATGATCCGAAATCTCCCTCACGGCCGGGATTTTTGCTTTGGGAAAAACTAAACATCATAAAATCAAGATATGGACAGTAGGTGGGACATAAAACGTTCCTATTGCGATTTTGAACTAAAGAGAAATCTGAATGAAACGCTATTATGAATAATAAAGTCGTCATGCCTAAAAAGCAGTTAACTAGCTAGACTCTATCGACTGAATGTTTTTTTTTCTGTTAAAATATTTTCAGGAAAATATGTTTCTCAAGTCCACTAACTGTTATAGCTCTTTCCAGTATTGATAGGCAATCTTGAATAATATAAGATACGCAGTGTTGATAGCTGACACGGAAGTGAAATTACAGTAAAAGATAGCGAGAAAAAAGGAATAACCATGAACTAAAACAAGCCAGAAATTATCGTCATTAGCAAAAGAAAAAAGCCCAAGAAGCGATTTATGAATTGGAGACATCCAGCATAGACAGATGTTTAAATATCTAGGAAATGTTTTAACAGAAGATGGAAAATGTGACAGCGAAATGTAAAGATGCATTCGACTAGAGGCATTCCGAAAGTACTTCTTTCTTTCTTTCTTTCTTTTTATGTGCCATGTCCTTTCAGGACGTGGGCGCTCATGGCTCTCCACCTCCTTCTATCTCATGCAGCTCTCAACAAGTTCCTTCCCTTCGCTTCCCCCACCCCCAGACCACGTTGATCCACTTGCTTAAGTCCGCCAGGTATGTCACACGTTGTTTTCCCTTGTCTCTTTTTCCCTCTATCCGACCCGTGAGTGTCAGATTCTCCAGGCCCTTTTTCCTCATTATGTGTCCCAGAAACTGCAGCTGCCTCTTCCTGATATTAAGTATAAGACCACTCCTTGTTTGCAAGCTCTAAGACCTCATATGCTCGGTCCATGATATCCTTAGCATCCTTCTGTAGAACCACATAAAAAATTGATAGAAAGAAAACAACAAAGTGCTGGATTTTAAATTTTATCTATCCTCCGATATGGCAGTGAATGCTGGACAATCTCCCCACAGATAAGGAGAAAACAGGAGGCAACAGAAATATGATTCTACAGAAGGATACTGAGAATTTCATGGGCAGAGCAAGTAAGCAATGAGGTCTTAAAGAAAATGGAAAAAAAAAAGAATCAGGAAGAGACAGTTGAAATTCCTTGGACATATAATGAAAAAAGAGGGCTTGGAAAACTTAACACTCACAAGGTATAGAGAAATAAGGGAAGGTAGCGGTCACCTGTCTGACGAGCTTGAGTGAAATGATGACGCTATTGATAGCGAAATCCTTAGCAAAAGTAGAAAAAAGGGATACAATGGCGTTTTGGGGAGTAATGATCGCCCATATCCAGAAGAGAAGCGGCGCACAGTAGCAGTATTTATGGACGCTTCCTTCCTAAGATTTTGTTTGAAGTTCTTTCATACGAACGCTGGCGTTCCCTAAGGCTCTATCCTGGGTCTTACACTGTTTCTGATCATCAATGATCTTCCTGATCTCATCAGTTTCCAAATAGGCATCTATGCAGACGACACTACCATTTTCTCCTGTCTCAATAGTAAATCCGGCATTGCTGACAAAGCCAACCTGGCCGTTGGTCTAGAAAGGGGCCTCTAGGCTGTGGTTGTCTGGGGCAGGAAATGGCTTGTAAATTTGAAATCCTTCGAAACTAAATTACTCTCATTTAACCACAACAGAGAAAGTCCTCTGTCCACCATCAGCATCGTTGATGCTCGACTCCGTGAGAGCGTCTCACTGTGCCTTTTTGGCCTTACGTTTTCCAATGACTTGAGGTGGAACAATTACATTGAATCAATAGCTGCATCTACTGCAAGGAAAGTTGGTTCACTGTGTCGTGCCAGAACGTCCATCTTACGCATCTACAAATCTACCATTCGTCCGTGCATTGAATACTGTTGGCATATCTGGTCTGGTACCCCTGCTGTTCATCTCGAGGTTCTTGATAAAATCCAAAGAAGGATCTGCAGTGTAACTGATCCTGACCTGGTATCTCGACTTCAGTCACTTTCTCACAGACGTAATACGGC